CCCCATCCCGGGATGCAGCTTTCAGTTGGGGCCGGGGAGAGGTTGGAGCTGAGACCTGCCCCGCTCGTTACATGCCAGGCGGGGGAGTTGGGGGGTCGGGGGGTCAGGAGGAGGGGGGGCACTCACGGCTGCCAACTTGTCGAAGCGGGCGAAGAGCTCGTTGAGGAGCTTCACCAGCTCCTGGGCGCTGCAGGAGGAGGAGAGCTGGGTGAAGCCCACGATGTCTGCGAAGAGGATGCCGCGGGGAGCAACGGCGAACGGCTCAGCCCCGGTGTGTCCCCCCTCTCCTCTTCTGGTCCCCCCTCCCCGTCCCCTCTCTCCTTTTTTCGCCCACGCTGGAGGAAAGGCTCTTTTGGGATATGGCTGAAAACGATGCTCTGCAAACCATGGCGGGAGCAAAAAGGGGCCCCAAGCCATGGTCTGGTTGGCGACCCTCCCCCCAGTCGCCCTTCACTTTAGCTGCAAACCACCCCAGTTTCTCCTTCTTTTCTAGCCTGGATGGCAAAATACACATTTCTGCCAAAAATTTTCAGTTTTTTTTTTCCCCCCACATGGTGAAGGGTTGGTCCTACCTGACATTCTCATGGCGGTACATGTACATGGTGTTAAACTGCTGCATCTCCTTCTGACTCGGGTCCTTCTTCATGTCCTTCAGCATCTCGTCGGCCACGTGCTTGGGCAGGATGGAGAGCATCAGCCGCTCCTGGGGGACACGGGAGGGACGGGAGTTCACCATGACGCGAAGCCAAGCCCAACAATGATCCCAGAGGCTCCCAGGGGCCAGCCAGGTCTTTAGCCCACCCTCTCGGCCACACGTGAGGAAGGAGTGGGTGGACCAAAGCATGGGTGAAACAGGAGCTTTTCCTCCAGGCAGGGAGAGAAAAGTCAGAGTGGGGTGTCCCGGGCACCGAAGGGAGCTGGGAGCCATCACCCTGACCCCAAACTCACACCCATGGGTGGAGGGGATGCACCCATGGGTGGCAGGTCCCCCTTGGTGATACTCTGCCAGGGATGCCAACTACTACTTTTACCATTTTCCTCCTTATTTTACAAATTCTCCTCAAGATTTTTGCAAGTGGGACTAAATCCCAGGCAGGGAAGGATGGGAGGGTGGTGGTTTTGGGGCACTGCAGCTGTGGGAAGAAGGGACAGTCCCATAGACTTATTTGGACTTATCTGATGAGCTGCGAAGTTTCCTTGTGCGCCCCAGATCCCTCCTGCAGGCGCGATACAGAGCCCAGCCCCTCGCCGGGAGCTTGAGAATTAAAAGGCATTGGATTGGCCAAGGTTTTATCAGCCCAGATAAACCTGGGACACAGTGCTGGGAGTGACCTCAGGGTCTGCACTGATGTCCTCCAAGGTCCCAGCGAGCTACCCCGGGGTGTCCTGCTCTGGGGGTGGGTGTATGGACGTGGTTTAGACCATGCTAGGGAGGATTTACCAATTTAAAAGCACGGTGGGTACCCCACATCCACGTGTAGGACTCAACCAAGGTCCCTCAGGAGGATCAAGCCCACCTGGGGACATCGTACCCATTGCTGTCCTCCCTGTCCCTGCAGCCCCGGAGTCGGAGAAGGGATACATATTCCCGGCTGCGCGTGGGGATTTGCACTAAATGTAAGTAACTCCGTTAATGAAGCGTTCTTTTCCCCCGGGACGGGGGTGTCTCTGTGCGCAGCCGTGGTGGGGCTGTTGCTGGAGGAACAGCACCGTGTCCCCGTCCCTGTCCCCGGGGGCTGCCAGCGGGGAGGCGCGTGGGGGCTCCTCAGCTTCTCTCGGCTCCCGTTAACCTCAGCTCTGCCCGTGGCAGAGGTGGCCTGGAGGGAGGAGGGATGGATCCTGCCACCGGCATCGCTCCCTGGCCCGTGGCCCCCCTGCCCCGAGCCACTCAGCCGCATGCCAGCAGCCTTTCCTGCAAGATCACAGGCTTTTTTTAGCTCGATTCCCTAAGGAAACGGAGCTCGTGTGATAATAAACCCCATGTCCCTTCCTGTATCCCTCCAAACCCACGGGCCGGGGCCTCGAAGGCGCTCTCACTCGGAGCATCCCCCCCCCAGCCTCAGGATTTGCCCCCATCACCCAAATCCCTCCCCGGCCCTAACCCCTTATTAGCCATCAGAGCATCCACCCAGGTTTTGCAGCAAAGAGGACGCGGGTGGCGCTGGCCCGGCCCCGCCACGTGTCTCTTGTTGCCATTGGGAGCAAATTGCTGGCAGCGGATCAACCAGATAAGCGATGGGAGACGGGGAGAGAGGCCCCAGATAAGGTGCTAAAATTAGCCCAGCTCGTCACCGGATGGTGGCTGAAGACAACAGGGCTTTGAAACAGCCGCCTGCCACCACGACGCCCACTGCCCTCCAACCGCTCCTCC